TGGCCCTCTTTTTTATTTCCATTAATGTACCTTTCTTTGTTTTCTTCCTGTAGCCTCTTGGGTATACTTATTCCTTTCTTTGGCCCTTTGTGTTGCTTTGAGTGTTCTCTGTAGGGCTGGTTTGGCAGACATGAATTCTTTCAGCCTATTCGTGTCTTGAAAAGCTTTTCATTTCCCTTCAACCATGATAGATACTTTTTCTGGATAAAGTATTTGCAGTTGGCATCCATGGTCATTTAGAACTGGGAATACTTTGGTTCAGGCACTTCTGGCTTTCATGGTTTGCATTGAGATGTCAGATGTAATTCTGATGGGTTTTCCTTTAAATATAACTTGTTTTACTCTAATAGCTTTCAGTGCCCTCTCTTTGTTCTATACAGTTAATGTTTTTACTATGATATGCCATGGGGAATTTCTGGTCTGGTCATGTCTAATCGATGTTCTATGTGCTTCTTGAATCTTTATAGGTAAATCTTTCCTTAATTTAGGGAAGTTCCCTTCTATAATCCTGTTGAAGATCTGTTCAATGCCATTGGCCTGAGGTTCTTCTCCTTCCTGTATGCCTATGATGCATAGATTTGGTCTTTTCATGTTGTCCAACATTTCCTGCATATTCCACTCCTTTCTTTAATTTTACATGGTCTTTTCTTTTCTTCATAGGTAGCCCAGATCTTCAGCTTTGTCATCCAGTCTTGATATTCTGTTCTCCGCTTTCATTCATTCTGCTAATTTTACATTGTCCTTGCTTAAGGAGTCCAGATCTTCAACTTTATCATCCGGTCTTGATATTCTGTTTTTCATTTCATTCATTCTACTTGTAAGGTTTTCTCCTGTTGTTTCTGGTTGGTTTATTGAGTTTTTCAATCCCAAGCTCATTTCCATTTTTGTTTTCTTCACTATTTCTACCTCTTTTGTGAATTTACTTTTTTTTAATAGTTATTTTTTTATTTTATGTGTATGAGTATATTTCCTGCATGTGTGTAAGTGCACCTGTGTCATGCAATGCCTGAGGAGGCCAGAAGAAGACATCAGATCCCCTGGAACTGGAGTCATGGATGGTTATTAGCCACCATATGGGTGCTGGGGATCAAACCCAGGTCCTCTGCAAGAACAGTCAGTGCTCTTAAAACTGCTAAGCTATTTCTCCAGCCCCATGAATTCACTTTTCAAGTCATGAACTGAATTTGATATTTCATTAAGCTGCATATTTGTATATTCTTGGGCTACCATCACATGTTTATGACTTTCCTCTTTGAGTTCTTTGAATTTTTTGTCTGTGTTTTATTAAGTTCTTTGATCATGTTTATGATTGTTCTTTCAAATTTTTCATCCTGGGGTTACAGAGGGTGGTTCTCATTGTAGTGAAATTCTGTAAGACTAGTGGATTTTGTTGGGTTTTCATATTATTTGTGTTTCTGTGCTGCCATTTGGACATATGGATATTCTTTGTTGGTTATGTGTCCAGTAGGAACTTCTACTCTGCTTTTTGTTTAACTTAATTTTGGTTCTGTTTATATTGTTTATATAGCTTGGTTGCTTTTTGTTCAGGTATGGAAAATAAATTGGTGTGTGTTTCAGATTCTTGTAGGATAGTAGACTGGTCTGGGTGGTTAGATTAGTAAGAGGGCTGGTCTGTGTCAAACAGATCAGGAGCCAGTGGAGTCTATGCTAGAGAGTTTACTTAGTCAGGGTTAGGGAGCTAGTCCAGGGATTTGAGGCAGAGGAATTGGGGCCTGTCTGGGTCCAAGGCTGGCAGGGGACAGGGTTGGGGTGGGCAAGAGGAATGGAATAAAGACATAATAAGCAGAGTCCTGGCTGGGCAGGTCTTTCCAGGTAATCAGGAGCCAGGGAAGATGGCAATAGGGAAACCACCTGAGTTGGGACCTAGAGATCTATGGTAGAATGTTTAGCTAGTCTGTGTTAGGAAGCTAGTCCATTGATCTGAGGCAGAGAAATTGGAGCTTGCCTGCGTCCAAGGCTGGCAGGAGACCTTGGCAGTATTCTTATTCTGGATGTTGGGCATCCTAACAGGTATAGGTTGCAATTTCATTATTATTTTAAACTTCATTTCCTGATGGCACATGGTGCTGAGCATCTTTTCAAAAACTTATTTGCCATCTGATGAACTTTGATGGACTGTATATAACATAATTTTTACCTGGATTGATTTCTTTCTTTTATTTTTTTCCAGATAGAGTCTCACATAGCCCCAACTAGCCTGGAACTCACTATGTAGACCAGGCTGGCCTCAATCTCACAGAGAGCCATCTGCCTCTACCTCCTGAATGCTGAGATTAAAGACATGTACCATATTCTGTATGAAATACACAAAAATCTAATAAAAATAAATTAAAAAAAAATGAACCTGCCTAGATTGATTTCTTATAGTGAGTTTTTAAGAGTCTATTTGTTGTCTTAGTTTAGTCAGCTGCTATAACAAATTACCATAATCTGAGTGGCTTATAAACAACAGAAATTTATCTCATAGGTATAGAACCTTTAGGACATGGGACCTAACTAGAAGATACATGTTTTTGATGGCAAATCTTGAAGGATATGTCCTTCTTTGGTATGTCTAGTATAGTAAGTTCAAGATCATGTTACCAAGAGATCCAACGTCTATAAAAGCTCTCCCTGTTCTGGGAGGAGGAACAGTTGGGGGTCTCTTTTCTAAGCACATCATACTGTTTTCCTTGTCAGTGTGATGGAACACCTGCCAGAACAACTTTAGAGAAAAATGTATTGGGCCCACATTTTCCAAAGTTTTTTGTACATCATGTAAGGACATGAAGGAATTCATGGTGGCAGGAGCACATGGGTGGACTATTCACATTATGGAAGACTGAGAAGCAGGGAGCTTGGGAGGGGCACCAGAAGTAGATAAATAGCCCAGAAGCAAGAATTTGGTCCCATTTCAATAAATAGATCGTTGAATTTCTATAAGTTGCAAAGTGCTCTAATTGATAGGGTGGAAAATTCTATGTGGTAGTTAAAAAGAAAACATATAACACATATACACACACTAAAAAGGAGAAGATCAAATTTCAGAACATTCATTCACTTAAGGGATGTTTGCTGAACTCTGATTATTTCCTCATCTCTATACTGACAGGACAGACCTGGTTCCTCCTCCCATGGAGCATTATGTAAAATGGTAAATTATGGAAAATAAAGTGCCTAACAGTGGAATGATCAATATTGTTTATCATGGCATAAGCATGATGTGGAGTTTATAGTTTATAGTCATTAAAAATGGTGATTTTAATAACAGTAAATTAAGTAAAATAAGATTTAAAATTATGGACATGTACATACATGCCCATAATCACATATTATAAATAAAGCAATAACAAATTTAAATGATATGTAAAAATCATGTACATACAGAATGAAAGACCTTTTTTCAATTGTATGTGACCGAAAAGACATCTATGCAAATGCTAATGGGACTTATTTCTGAATGATAGAATTTGTGTCTGTGTTTATCTGTGTCTGTGTGTGTGTGTTCTAAATTTTGGAAATTTACATGTGTTGTTTTAGAATTACAAAATATAACATTTATAGTCATAAAAATTCTTAAAATAAATAGTCTTCATTTTTTTTGCTAGTTGCCATGATAAAATACCCTGACAAAAGCAGCTTAGAGAACAAAGGGTTTATGTTAGGTTACAGTTCAAGTTACAGTCCATCATTGCTGAGAATCAAGGCAGCAGGAACCTGAACCAGCTAGTCACATGCTATCTACAGTCAAAAAGCAGACAGCACTGAGTATAGCCTACTCAAGCTCAGCTACCTTCCTCTGCTCAGACAGCTTGGGACCTAACTCAGGGAACGGTGCCACTCATAGAGGATGGGCCTTCCCACTTCAAGTAACATCACCGAGATAACCCCCCTGCAAGCATGCCCACAAGTCAAGCTGATCTAGACACTCCTTCACTGAGGCCCTCTTCCCAGGTTATTCTACATTATGTCAACTTGAAAGTTAAAACTAATTATCACAAACAGCAAAGCATTTGAAAGTTTTAAATTTCACTTTATACTAAACCATATTTTCAAAACATTCCAATACAAGAATATGCTGACTATTTAAGCAGATACACGTATAAAACGTATGTTATGAGTAGATAAATACTGATTACCTTGTTTAACCCATTCCAAATTCTTAAGGACAAGTCATAGAGTTTGGCCTGTGTCACTGTGAACTGTGAATCTTATTTTGCTGATTCCTGAAGACTGCAGGTAATAGAAAGGAGTCGGGGTACTATTTAGGCAGATTTCTCTATCAGTGACAGGTTGGGAAGCAGTAGCCAAGTTCTAGTGAGGTCATCTAGACAGGTGTGGTATATCAGTGGATACCTGCATTAGTTTTAAGTGTACTCTCCATCTTTGAACACACACTCAAATGTGTATAAATATACTCAAGATGAGATACGTGGAGCTTCTAACACAGTCTCCTTTGTCTGGGGCAGGTAAGGTGGGGCCTCCTCTTGACATCAAGCTGGGTGCATTGAACTGTACAGCTTTCAGGATCCAGTGGAAAATGCCAAGACATTCTGGGAACCCCATCATTGGGTACATGGTGAGTACAGGGGCATGGGAGATTCTGTAGCAGATGTTTGGGGAAGGGGCTCTCCATCCCTTCCTTCCTCTCTCTGCATCTTCTGTATGGGTTAAGGATCCCTTATCTTCTTGGGATCAGAAGTGTTTTGAATTGAAAATTTTTGTTTTCAGAGTTCAGAGTATTTGCTTAATATATAACTAGACATCTTGGGGCCAGGATCCATTTCTAAACACAAAATCTAGTAATGGTTCATATATACCTTATACATGCAGATTTATATAATTTTAATGCAGTTAGTCTTTACTATGATTTATCACACGAAGTCAGGTATGGAACTGTGGTGTTTTTTGTTTTTGTTTTTTTTTAAAAAAAAAAAGCTTTTTGTGGCATATCAGCACTCAAAATATTTCAGATTTTGGATTTTGATTTTTGGATTTGAGATATTCAGTCTGTGTATGGTCTCCTTACATCAGTCCGCCCATATTAACTGCCTCATTCTCCTTCTCCTTCAGTGAAATTCGTAAGCATCTCCATTAGTCAGTTAGGATCTACACAGATCTTTCTCCATGCAGCAAAGGGAAAATATAAAGCAAATAGAATATATGGTTTCTGCTGTCTAAGTGCAAATGGCCAAATTTGGAAAACAATGCCAAGACCTAGGAAGTCATAGTGAGTTGCTGTGCCTATTGTCAGAATCTGAGTTAAAGGACTACATGGGTAAAGAAGGAAGAGGAACAGACTGTGTTCTTCCCATCATCCAACTGGATTGATTGTAGTCATCAAAGTGTTTATCTTCGAAAGTATTTTTAGAAGTAAGTCAACTTTAGAAGTCAGGACATTTCAGGTTACTGAAATCTCTGGGATATTGGGAGAGTTGACCACACCCAGCCCACATTCCTAGGTGGCACCAAGACCCCTGGGGCTGAGAATTATATTTGAGATGGAATGGGAGATGGAATGGACATCCCTTATTAAGAATCCAGTCTCACCATTCCCTGCTGTCCATGTTTCACTGAGGAAGAGTAGTCATTGGTCATGGCTGATGCCCTCTGGTCTTCTTAAATCTTCTTAAAACTATCTGAGGACTCACTATACAATGTGGGAAATGAATGCCTGGAGAGGGTCATTTTGGTCAGAAAATGAAAGGAGCTGATTTTGACTCTATCCATCCTACCTCACTAACATGGCTTTTTCTCCAAGCCTCTGCAGGCCTGGCTCTACTAGGTGCTACTGATGTTTATTCCCAGGGTCCTAACACCTGTGGGACAAGATAACACACCCCAGGATCCCACAGCTTTTGAGGGCAGTTTGAACCTCTGATCTTAGGGAAGGATTGGCTCTGTTCTCACGAGGATCTCTGCTTCTTTTCAAGGTATTTTACTCTGAAGTTGGTACGGATAAGTCCCTGCGGGAGCAGTCACATAATGTACCTGTCGGTCAAGATACCCCAATCACTGTGAGTACCTTCTTGTTAGCACCGGGGTGTTTGGCACGTTAGAGAGATGCAAATAGATTTCTGACTTGCCACATGCACTGCCATGTTTGTAATAATAGTGAGTGTGTGTTAGAATTCCCAAATGTCTCCTGTCTACACTGCTTTGGTGACATGCTAAGACATGCTATCCCTATCTCCAGAGAGGCAGGCATTTGATGAAAGGGCCCTAGTGCAAATGTTTCCATCCTGGACCCACTTCCTTCTTCCTTCTGTCCTGAGTGGCGACAGCTACTTTCAGGGGCTTTACCCTACCTCCCATTCTTTTCTTCACAGCTTAAGTCTGAGGGGTTTTTTGAAATCCAAATAAAGCTTTATAAATAAATATGACACCTGTGTGTTCCCAACTGTCTGGTGATACAATGCAAAAGAAAAATTTCAAGTGGTCTGAATTGTTTATTTTCCTTTTTCAGCTCAACACCATGTGTGGGCTCCTCTGTTTCTTTTCTGTTTCCAAGAGGGTCTCTCTCAGAGTGGATGTTTTACTTTAGGCACCTTCTGGTTCCTTTCCTTTCTCCCTCCTCCTTCCCCATTCTGTCCCTTAATCCCAGGTTGGAGCCCCTGACTGACTCCATAAAGCATTGCACTGACTCCCACAATGCTGTCATGATGGTGGTGGTGGCACTGTCACTCCTATTTAATAAGTGCCTTCTGGGTGCCGCACAGCCCAGAACCTATTTGTCATCTTCGATAAGCTGCTATTGCTTATTAAGTATCTGTCATGGCCAGGCACTGTCCCTCCTGCTTTATATTTGTTTTTCTATTTAATCTTCACAACTCTCCTATGACCTCATTCTACTGACAGGAATGCTGAGACAGAGAGGTGAAGTAAGTTGCCCAAATCATGTATTAGGAAAGAGCTAGCAACAACTGCACACCCAGGGCTGAGGTCTAAGCCCCAGCCCTGTCTCATTTTACCAAAGCTCTCATGTCCTAGAAGGGCTAGCAGTACATTTCGACTTACTTGTATTTTCTTCTCAGCCTTTAGTCTCAACTTGACTTTGCTAAAGTACTTCTTGTTAGCCTCTGAAGCCCTCAGTCCCAGCCTGTGGTTTGCTTTATCCTAAGTTGGGAGAGTGGGTTGGCTTCATTTAGGAAACTGCATTGTCCAGTAGTGACCCCATCCACTCAGCCTCCTGTCCTACAAGGCTTATTGCTCTACCCCAAACAGAGACCCTGCCTGGCACAGGGAACCTAGGCTTCAAATGGGACTCTGTGAAGCCACACCATGGCAGACAGAACAGAAGGCTGGGAAGGAAGACACTGGCCTTCTGGAACTGTCCCTCATATTTGCAGGTTGGAATTTTGGCCAAAGTCACTTAGTGTGTCTAAACCTCAGCTTTGTCTCATGGAAGGAATATAACAATCAGACTGCAGTAAAAATAAACAAAACTTTGTAGAAGCCTCTCATAAATGTAAAATGCCAGTAGACATTAGTTAACATACCTGATGAGTCTCAGGTTGAAAATACTCCATTACTTACATCTAAGCAAAAGGCATCTGTCAATTTCTAGTGCTCCGTCATCTTGCTGATGTCAGCAACTGGCATGGTGACTTCTATGTGTCCACCATAAGATAGCATATAAGCCCTGTTTGGCGACAGCATTCTGTCTTGGGGCAGGTCTATAATCTCAGCTACACAGGAAGCTGAGGCAGGAGAATATCAGTTCAAAGCCTGCCTGGGGGTGAGACAGAGCGAGTTCAAGACCAACCTGAGTAATTTATTGATACCCTGTTTTGAAAAAAATGAATAAAGAAAATTTTATAAGAGGTAAAAGAAAAAAGAGAGTTGAGGCTGCAACTCAGTGGTGGAACTTAAATCCCAATACCACAAAACAAAACTTATGTTCAGTCTGATAAACAGAGAACAGTATATAAATAATTATTGAAGCATACAAGACCAGATGTCATTACCATTGCCATTTAATAGAAAGATTTGAAGAAAGGAAGATAAGTGTGGGAAGAAGTAAGGAGGTAGATCTTGGGGTTAGAAATTGAAATATAGAACTTTCTAGAAAGTCAGATTCAAAGGAGGAATATCCCAATGGAAGGAAATGGTTTGACCTTTAGGAATGAGCATATGTGTGTGTACATGTGGCTGATGCCTGTATGTTGGGTCAGGGTGAAGACATTTGTCCAATATACAGAATGGAGAGACAAATCGATGACTATTATATCTGTGCTTCCCAAACTATGTGTTAGGGTCTTCAGGAAGCTTACAAGGGCACTATGGAATATTTTAAAACTTTCAGACTGGCACAATGGCTCAGTGAGTAAAGGCATTTGCTGCACAAGCCTGGTGACCTGAGTTTGATACCCAGAAGACCATGTAAAGGTGGAAGGAGAAAACTGACTTCACAAAGTTGTCCTCTAACGTATGCATCATGCACACACAGATACATGCCCAAAAACAATAATAATAATGAACTTTCAAGAAAAACAGCAACATCTCTGTGAATTAATATTAAGAAGTTGTTTGGGGGCTGGAGAGATGGCTCAGTGGTTAAGAACACTGACTGTTCTTGCAGAAGACCCAGATTCGAATCCCAGCACCTACATGGCAGCTAACAACTGTCCATAACTCCAGTTCCAGGGGATCCGACAGTTTCTTCTGTCCTCCGCGGGCATTGCACAACATGGATGCACTTACCTACATGCAGGCAATGCATGTAGGTAAAATTAAATAAAATATTTTTTTAAAGTTGTTTGGATATAACTATGTAATATAAAATTGTTTCTAATAAATTAAGCATGCCACAAACAGGAAGTATGGGAATCTCTGTAGCTCATTGTATCCTATAGCATATAGGATGCTATATAGGATGGATGTTTTAAGAATTAAGTGAGGCCTTGGGTGTACAGCGCTCAGCACAGCTGCATGGATAACAACTGCACAAGTGGTTGAAAGGATTCACATTGCAAAGGAACACATTTGCCTCCCACTATACCTATGGGCAGGTGCTCTGTGGCTTTAGTTTGGTCCTGAAAATTTTTTCTCACTCTTTATGTCTTTTCTGATTTCCTTTCTTTCTCCCTCTATAGCAACCACCTGATCATTAGGCAATTTTTAAAGTGTGTTTGAAGAAAGTTAAACATCTAGCCCAACCCAGAGTCCAGGAAGGGAAGAACCTCTTCCCTGAGATGATTATTTTTCTGCATGCCCCTCATTCCGAATAAGGCCACTGGAGATATCTAGTTATAGAATTGACAGGTTGATTAAAAACATTTTTTTAAAGATCTCTATGAGTTTGAGGCCAGCCTGGTCTACATGGTGAGTTCCAGGCCAGCTGGGGCTACAGGAAGACCCTGTCTCTTAAAGACAAAAAAAATTTTTAATTGAATGTTTATGAATTTCATATAATACATCTTGATCATATTTAGACCCCCTCTCCTATCCTTACCCCCTCATAGCCCCCCACCAGATTTCATGCATTCTGTCATATATGTTAAGGCTTATTATGTTTGTGTTCCTCAGTGTGAGTTCATTCACTGGAGCCTGGTCAACCTATTTGGAGTCACTCCCTTAAAGGAAATCAGCTCTCTCTCCACCAGAAGTCATTGTTTGCCAATAATTCCTCAGCTAAGGTTGGGACTTCTTACCTATTTCCCCACTTTTATTCTAGGCTTTTGACTGGTTTGAGCTTGCATGAGTTTTGTGTGTGTTGTCAGTATTGCTGTAAGTTCATATGAGCAAGTTCCCAGCTGCCTGGAAAACTCTGCTTCCTTGTGATCATCCACCATCCCTGGCTTTGACAGTCTTTCTACCCCTTTTCTGCAATGGTCCCTGTGCCCTGGTGGCAAAGGTTTGACATAGGTGTCCTACCCAGGAGCACACACTTTGCAGTCTCTTATTCTCTACTCTTTGGCCAGTTGTGGTTCTCTCAGTTAATCACCCTCTGTTGTGTGAGGAAGCTTTTCTGGTGAGCTGCATTATTACTCTTTCTATATCCTGTTCTGCTATGTTCCCTGAGCCTTAGGTATAGAGGTTACATTGTAGATGTGTCACTTGAAGCTGAACTTCTCACAGAAACTTATTCTCTGCATTTGATCAGTTGTAGAGCTCTGTAATAGTCTCCATATGTTGCAGAAAGGAGTTTTTTGATGAGTGGTGACAAGCACACTTGTCTGTTAATATAAGGACACATATTCAGAGTACAGTAAGAAATTACATTGGTCTAGGGATGTGACAAAAACAAGTTTTTTTTCCTTTTTTTTTTCCCTCTAGGATCTGTGACCCCTCCACCATGTATATTTGGCTGGCTATGTTTACAGTACCTTACATGAATCCCCTCCCATTGAGCTGGCCTTATGTCCAATTAGACAGTTGTTGATTACCCCCAGGATAAGAGTAAGACTGAAAATATAGAGATAGGTTGCTTGGCCTGCCATTGTTGTGTTTCTTTAGGCTACAACTGGATTGGACCACTGATTAGTTTTCTCCCTTGGCAGTTTGCATAGTATCCTCTGATACCATGAGAGCTAGTCTTCATGGAGGGGCTTTCAGGTCAATTCAGCTTGATTTCTCCAAGACCTGTGTCTAAAGTACATCCTGTACTCAGCAATAGGGTCTTACTTTCAAGTTCGTGGAGGCAGTCAAGGGCTGTGGCAATAGTCTTTGTAGTTTTGAGAGTCTCTTGGACTACCCTGACCAATAACTCAAAGGGAGGTTTCTCCTGGCAGGTAGATTTTTAATCATTTAAGAAGGAGATACTTTTATCTTTGTGCCTTCTGCTTTGTCTAACATGGTAAAGAAAGGCTAAGAGAAGCATCTTTAAAGGTTGAAGTCATTTAAACCCCGTTCTCAGAATAAGTGAGGCTGACTGAAAAAAGAGAGAAAGTATTTAAAAGTGAACAGCATTTCTAGGGAAAGTCTTCCCTCTCTAACCTCTCTTGTCCTTACTTTCTCTAACTGTCCCAGAGTGTCCTTGAAATGAAAAAGGGCCCATCACCAAAAAGAAGGTTGA